TCCAATGAATGATAATCCATATTTTATGATATTAAATTTTAAGTTATTCTACTTCATATTCATAATGATACAGATATAGATAGATAGATAGATAGATATAGATACAGACTTGTTCTCTTGGCCTAATGATGAAAATAAAAGCTCACAGCTCCATGAGCAGAGCCATTGGTTTTAGCACTGAACTAACATTCCCAACACATTATGCTAAAATTGCACATATTAGATGCCTTTATTGGATTTCAAAAATAATTGGGGCAGTTTAATAACAACTTCAACAGCAGAGGCAAGCCCAGAGAGAAAGCAGAACTCACCTTTTGGCTTCCAGGCGTCCAGCTGGGCCAGAGCAGGATGGAGCTCAGGCTGGGGGTGACTGGAGAGGGAGCTGTGGGTTCCTGATGGGGTCCAGGGGCATGGCTGGTGCCCCCAGCCATGGGCAGCCCTGTGCTGGCACTGCCCTGGCACTGCCCAGAGCTGGGAGCTGCTGCAAACCCTTCCCAGGCAGCACAGGGGTTAAATCCCGAGCACAGGCTGCCCAAATTCCTTCTGCTCTCCAAGCAGAGTCTGCCCAAATTCCCTCTGCTCTGTGTGGCAGCAGCTCCCTGGCCACAGAGAGCACAAGCACAGCTTCCCCAGGCCCTGTCCTGAGAAAAGAATGAGAAACAATCCTTCTCTTCACTTGCTGCCCCCGTTGTTGTGAGCATGTGGAATGTGTTAGGGAGATTTGTTTACCAAAGGGTGATTTCTTGACTGGCCACTGGTGATGGTGTTTGGATCCAAGGACCAATTGGGTCCACCTGTATTGGACTGTCTGTAAGGGTGATGGGTTTCTCATTAAGTACAGTACAATAAAGTGATTGATCAGGCTTGGAATCATGGAGTCAGTGCTAATTATTGCTCCTTTGGGGATGCCTGGTTACAGCACTCACAGCCCCATTTCATGGGCAAATGGCCACTCACAGGGTCACGGACATCACCCCCCTTCAGGCAGCACTAAGTCCCCAAACCAGGAATCTTTTGCTCTGGTAAAAACCCAATAAAGTTTTCTAAAGGGTTTGGATGTGGCAGCCTGGTGTAGCACGGGCACAGCTGCCCAGGGATTTGGGAGGAGGAGGTTTTGGTACCTCCTGGCTGCTGCCTGCTGGCATCCCTGGGACAAAACAGCCCAAAGAGCTGTGCCTTGTTTTCTCCTCCCATAAATTGTGCATAATAATAAAAACACATCTGGAAAGATGCAAAATTTATGCCAGGGAGAGGATGTTTATAGTATTAATGGTTTTAGTGATTTTTTTTAACAAGCCTCTGATGAACCCATTTTTCTCAAGCTTTTCTTTGGGAGGCAGCTCATTAAGATGCAGTTTAATTGCTGCAAGTTTTGCTTTTCTTGCTGTGCTTTAAGAATCCTGAGAGTTTGGGGATTATTTTGGAGCCATTCGTGATGTTTGTGCCATCCCAGCCCTGCTGGGTGATTCAGTGTCACCTCAGAGCTGGGGCAGTGCAGGGCACACCTGGGATGGTAACAAGCTCGGGGCTCCTCTTCCCACGGAGCTCAGGGCAGGATTTCCATCCCTTCCATTTCCATTTCCATTTCCATTTCCATTTCTATTTCCATTTCCATTTCCATTTCCATTTCCATTTCCATGTTCTCTGTTTGGGAGAAGGATCCCCAGTGTGGCAGGGACAGGCTGGGAGCCTGCAGCCCCTGTGCCAGGCCAGTCTCTATAACTGCCCACCCAGACCACGCCAAACTCTGGTTTTGTCTTTGGTTGATTTTTATTTATCAATAAAACAATACTACAAAACATGGGAAACATCTGCATTAAGTACAGACTCGCTGATACCGCGCCAGTTTTTAACCTGCTGTATTTACAGAGCTCTCCCTCCAGGGCACGGGACAGGGGCAGGGCAGCCCTGGGGGAGAACTGGGGTGAGCAGGGGGAGAAGCAGGGTGTACAGGGGGGTTCTGTGCTGTCCTGTGACCCCCAAACCCAGGGGTGAGCAGGGAGTGAGCAGGGGGTGTCCTGAGCCCCCCAAGCCAGCCCCAGCCCCTCTCCCTGCACAGGTTTGCTCTGGCCCTGGCACAGCACAGAGGGGTGGCTGGAGGATGCTCTGCAGCCCAGCCTTGCCCTCCCAGCCCCCCTGCCCAAGGGAGCACCTCCTATGCTCGGGTTTGGGGCATGGCAAGAGTCCAGCCCCACCCTGGCAAGCCCACTGTGACCTGCAGGGTCCCCCCTCACCTGTCACTGTCACCTGCAGGGTCCCCTTCCCTGCCCCCCAGCCCCACCTGGTTCCAGCTGCTGGCCCAGCTCAGCACTGGGGTTAGGGGCTGTCCTGGGAGGGGGTCTCTCCTCTGAGAAGGCTTTGGCCAAGCTCTGGGTTTGTCTCTTGTGGCAGCAGCGGGCACAGAGCAGGGCCAGCCCAGGCCTGTGCTGCCCACCCTGCTCCCAGCCAGAGATAAATACACTTGTGGGGAGATAGATAGATAGATAGATGGGTAAATAGATAGATATTTCTATATATAAGCTCTCTTAATTATATAGTTGTAAGGCAGATTAAAATCATTTTCTGGAATCACCTGGTGCCAAAGGGAATCTCTCCTCCTTCCCATGCACATCACCCCGTGCTGCGTGGGGGAGGTAATTACATCCTCAGTAATTACTGTGCAGGTGTTCCACCCCAACACCCACTGCTCCTTCACATCTGCCCTGACACCAGGAGCAGCCAGTGCTCAGAACACCCAACATCACCTTCCCGCTCGGAATGCCAGTGGGCAGCGTGGAGGTGAGCCCTGCTCAGCACTGGGGGCTGTGCTGGCTGCAGCAGGGCTGTCACCAGCCAGGCCATGGCACCAGGGCTGAGCTCCTGCCCTGGGAGCTGGCATGGAGCCTGGGAGCCAGCCCGGGCAGGGGAGAGGGTCCTGCAGCCCTGCTCTGCCCAGGAACAGCAGCAGCAGCAGGGTCCTGCAGCCCCTCTGTGCCCAGGAACAGCAGCAGGGTGCCCTCAGCTCCCCTCCGCACCATCCCCAGGTCCAGACAGAGCTGCTTCATGGGGAGAAGCTCGTCCCAGAGCTGGGGGCACTCCAGGGACACTGCGGATGCTGGCACAGGGCACAGGGCACAGGGCACAGGGCAGGGGCTCTGCAGGGGCTGTGCCAGGACAGGAATCCTGGCACCACCAGGCTCGTGGCACTGCCAGCACTGGGCTGGGGCATCAGTGGAGCCCAGGGAGCGTCCCCTCAGCACTGGGGGACACAGCCCCAAAGCTCCTACAAGGGCAGGCACTGCAGCACCCAAACCCTTCCCCTGGCCTGGGGAGGCACCACATGGGGAAAATGCTGCATCCACCTCCTGCCAGGAAGGGGCCATTGCAAAGGGCTTCCTCCAGACCACAGCCAAGTACTGCAGATTAAAAACAGCAATAACCAACACAGAAACAAACTGGGGAAACCCCAGTGCTTAGGAGGGAGGATAACACCCAGCCAGCAGGGAGGGAAAGTAGTTAAAGTGGTTACAGGAGCCGGTGCTGAACCCCTGTGGGCAAAAAGGCCTGGATGTGTCCATGGATGCACTTCTGTGAGTGTGTGTGTGTGACTGCTGAGGGGCACCAACACCTTTATTCTGGTCTGTGCCCTCCCTGTGGGCACTCACTGTGAGCTGAGGGGCAAACAGCAGCTCCCAGTACAACCATTCACTCTGAACTGGAGTGACAAACAGCAGCTCCCAGTACTGAGCACTTAATGGGAACTGGAGTGGCAAACAGCAGCTCCCAGTACAGCCCATTCCCTGTGACCTGCAGTGTCAAACAGCAGCTGTCTGCAGCTGTGGGCCCCAGCACCCCAGAGCAGGGCTGATCCCCCCATGCAGGGTCCCAGAGCCCCTGCCAGCCCCAGCCCAGCCCCTTCCCCTCAGCTGCCAGCCTCTGAAAATGGCATTTCAGCACTTGTAGCCCAGCAGGGGCTGTCACCACCCTGCTCAGGGCACAGCTGTGACTTCATCCCTCCCAGACCTCTCTGGTTCCTGGTGCTCCCGGCACCAGGGAAATACAGCAGGCTAAAAGCTACAGGATTTGTTTCACACACCACAGTAGAAACAGTTACCGAGTTATATTTGTCAGAGTCACAGTAGTTGATGCATATTTGCTATTCACAGACTGCAGAATATTGCCAAGAACCTCACTGGTGGGACTGACAACACGGATACATGCATTCAGGTGAGACCATTAGCAAGGATGTCTATACTGTATTAAGCACATTCATTTTTTTAAACACCTTCCAGTAAAATCGATTCCTTTAAATTTGCAGTTAAAACTTTTTTTTTTTGTTTCCACAATTACGCACAACTGTAAACAGTTTGACATTACACTTATGTACAAGTGAACCACGTTGGAGAGTCGAGAGGTAATTCGGTGGGTGCCACTTAACCTACATCAATGTGCAACAGGCTGACTGAGCCTCAGCAAAGTCATTTAGTGCTGAATGAGGTCCGAAAATGTAACGTGAGCAAGGCCCCNCCCCACACAGCCCAGAGCCATCCCTGCAGCTTTCCACACCTGTAACAGCCGAGAGCCTTGGGGAGCAGGGAGGGACACAGCATCCCAACCAAACAGAGTATTTCACTGATGGTAACACAAAGGCAGAGACTGCACCCTGCTCTCCCCAGGGACACATTCACAGTGCCCCAGGGAGGGGAAGGACGGGCAGGGGGAGAGGAGAGAGACAGGGAGATGGATTCATACTGTTCAGCCCTCAGAGGCCTGGAGGAGAAAAGGGACATCCACAGACTAAAAAAATGCTCTTTTCTGAGAAAGTGCAGTTATAAGGAGAGAGCCAGAAAATCTTTAAGCAATATATATTGATATATATATACATATATATATACACAGAGATATATATACACACATATATATATGCACATATATAAATACACATGCTTAAACTGCGGGGCAGGGCTGGGCTCTGTGCTGTGCTCCTCCCTGCAGACACACGGGGTCTGAGCAGGCTGCAGAGGGCACCGAGCCCTGCCCGCCCTGCCCTGCCCTGCCCTGCCTGCTGGGGCCACACCAGCGTGCCCTGGCTGTGCCATTAAGGTTTTCAGCTTGTGTAAGACTCGAGTTTACAAACAAAAGCGTTTGTCATTGTGCTTCCAGGACTGCAGAGAGATCGCTCCCCTACCACTAGAAATGTTAAGGTGAAGTAGGCAAGTTAGGCAGTACTAGAGATGGGTTTGGTTTTGGCGACCTAACACACAGTTATTACTGGGAGTTCCCGTTGTGTCCCTTGGCTCTGGCTCTGGGTACGGGGCCGTGCCTCTGCCCGCCCTGATCCTACAGGTGGTACTTGCGCAGCAGTTCCGATTGCCAGGGGTGCTTCCTCTCGGGAAACCTGTCTGGGATTTTGATCTTGAGGAAATCCTGGATGCATTTCTCCAGCTCCTCCTCGATGGAGAGCTTCTCCTTCACGGCCTTCTTCTTGCTGGCGTTGGACTCGCGGGAGCCGGAGGTGAGAGTCCGGAGCAGGTCGCTCTTCCTGCGGCTCTCGGCCTGCTGCAGCAGCTGCACCGGGCCCTTCTTGGCCCTGTCCAGAGTCTGGATGTTGGGCTGGCGAGTCACGGGCCCGCAGATGACGGTCTCCTGCGGGGAGCTGGCCTCGGACTNGGGCCACCAGGAGCAGCCTTTGCACTCACACTGCTCTGCCCCAGCCTCGCAGGGCTGCTCTGCCCTGCCAGTGCCCCCAGCCCTGCCCAGCAGGGCACAGGGAGGTGCCCCAAAGGTGCCCCACGGGTGCTGTGGGACTGTGGAGGAGCAGAGAGAGCAGCAGGTGAGGAGGGAGAGAAGGAAGGGGAGCTCTGGGCAGAGCTGCTGACCCCTTTGGGGCTGTGAGAGCCCCCAGCACTGCCCAGGGCCCCCGTGTTCCACCTGCAGCCCCCCAGCCCCTCTGAGCAGCACAGACCCTGCCAGCACAGCCCCAGCTCTGCACAGAGCACTGCCAGAACAGCTGCCATGGGGTCACACCACAGGCAGGCCCCTCAGAGAGGCAGCAGAGCCCACACACACACACACACATGGGCAGAGCCCACACAGCAGAGCCCACACACACACACACATGGGCAGAGCCCACACACACACACACACACGGGCAGAGCCCACACAAACACACATGGACAGAGCCCACACACACACACACACACATGGACAGAGCCCACACACACACATGGGCAGAGCCCACACACACACACATGGACAAAGCCCACACAAACACACACATGGACAAAGCCCACACACACACACACATGGGCAGAGCCCACACACACACACACATGGGCAGAGCCCACACACACACATGGGCAGAGCCCACACACACACACACATGGGCAAAGCCCACACACACACATGGGCAGAGCCCACACATACACACACACATGGGCAGAGCCCACGCCTGGCACTGCCCCATCCAGGCTGGGTGTCCCTGCAGGCTGGGCCTGCCTGTGATCACTGAAGTTTAAGACCTTTATTTCTGTAGCACTGGAGAGCAATAACCATTCCATCTCAGACTGGAGACGTGAAGGCCACATAAATCAAACCCACTTGGGCGCTTTTCATTTGGTCTCATTTTCCCCCAGTGATTAATCACGGAGCAGTCCCGTGCCCCTGGGAACATACACAGGCACACACACACACACACACATACACTCTCACACACATGCTCACATTCACACTCACACAAACACACACACTCACACACAGACACACACACACACACACATGCTCACATTCACACACACACTCACACATACACTCACACTCACAAACTCACACTCACACTCTATCACCTGCTCCTCCACCCTGAAAAGCGCCAGGGGAAGGTCTGGAGAACCAGCAGGATGTTTCATCCGCAGGCTCCTGCCAAGGAACAGAGGTGGCCTGTCCTGAACCCTGCTGAAATCCAGAGGATAGCTCTATCCGTTCCTGGTTCCTGCTTGGTGCCACAGCAAGGGGAGAGGGGTCCCAGGGGAACAAGGTGCAGAAAATGCAGAGTGGGGAGAGAAAAATGCTAGAAACTAACCATGAAATAAGTAAGCAGGGCCAGGTCTATGGAGCTTGTACAAATCATTGATTTCCGTGGGAAGATGTGCCCTTTGAGCCTGTGAGAGGGTGGCACCAGAGCCTGAATTCCAGAGGCAGGGCATGTCCTGAGCCCCGAGCTGGCTCTGCAGCACAGGCCCAGGAGGGCTGAGTCTGTTCGGTGAGCATCTCCCAGCAGGGACCTCCTGCAGCACCCACAGCGGGACAGCTCGGGCAGGGACAGCTCCTCCTGCACCCTCAGCAGCCCAGAGGTGACCCCAGCCACCCATGCCAGCCCTGCTCTGCAGCCCCTGCAGCTGCACTGCTGTGAGGGTTCCCCAGCTGCCGCAGGCTCCTGCCTGCCCACCCTCTGCACACGTATTGCTTCCTTTTTTAGGGTGCACCGGACCCCAAACACGGCTGGGGGCTGCTGGAGACCCCAGGGTTCCCTGGCACCCCTGGCATGGATGTTCCTGAATGCTCCTGGCTGGAGCTGCAGCAGGAGCACAGAAAGGACAGTGCAGGCAGCACTGCAGCTCCCACAGCAGTGTCTGGGGTGTGGGAGGGGAGCCTGGGACCTGCAGGACACTGACTGAGTCAGAGCTGAGTGATCTGTGCTACCAGCACTGCCCACACTTTATATTCATACATATACATATATATATATA